CAGTGCGCCACCGGGCCGGCCCCTCACACAACTTTTTATAGCAACTTTATTTATATTTCGTTTTGCTTTGTGGCTGGCCAGTACAGGAATCTGAACCCTTGACCTTGGTGTTATAACACCATGCTCTAACCGGCCAGCCCCTATAGCAACTTTATTAGTGATTGCCAAAAAATGGAAACAATCAGGGTACCTTTCAGTAGGTGAATGAATAAACAGTGGTATATCCATATGATGTAATATTGTATAAGATGAAAGAAATAGCTATCAGGACACAAAAAGACATGGATAGATCTCAACTGCATAATGCTAAGTGAAGATGCCAGTCTGAAAAGGCTGTATATTGTATGATTCCAATTATATGATATTCTGTAAAAGGCAAGACTATAGCAGCAGTCAAAATACCAGTGGTTGCCAGAGGTCTGGGAGGGGGGAGGATTAAATTGGTGAAGCACAAGGTGTTTCTTAGGGCAGTGAAACTATTCTTTATGATTTTGTAATTATGGATATAAGACACTCTGCATTTGCCAAAATCCAGTAGAACTTTACAAAGATTATGGAAAACAATCTAAAATGTGTGAATCAACTTCACTGAGAAGGGTGGGGGAGAAAAGTACAGACCTAAGTAACTTTAGATACTTACTTAGGTCAAAGTAATTGGGATTCCATAAGGTTAAAGGCAGAAGATATTGTACATAAGCAATGTGCTTTAGTCAATATAGTGTTTTCTTGTGAGTTAGTTCTGATACTGCTATACATATCTACTTGAATTGAACAAGTAAATGGATGGCAGATGGTGGGAGCCAGTTTTCTTACTCTTGAAGTTTACAGATAAGCAAGAGTCTAGAATGATCCATGTGGTAATAGATGAGAGTTGGAGGCATCAATATGATCATGCTCAGCTCAACATAGATACAGTCATACACACATATACACATATAGAAATATTTATAGATATGTGTATATACCCAGGTTATTATATACATATATTTCCTTACTCTATCAGCTAGGAGGGCCTACAAGGAACAACACCTTAATATCAATGTGCATACCTGGCATTCAGACCTTGGTTTCTAATATCATTCTCTGTTAAAAGGAACCAAAATTGCTTGGTGAAATGGCTGATTCTAGGACTGGGACAGGAAGTACACAAAATGAGCCTGGAGTATTTTGTAGTGCTAAAAAGTAAACA